CGTGGTCATAGATGAAAACACAATACAACATTTCAGCCACAAACAACATTACCTAAGACTCAACGGTAATGGTCTTCTATGGGAGGAAAACAAGCGTTGCAACGCATGCTGTCATCCCATCTCTCTCCAATCCTTCTATGGTTGTATTGATTGTGATTTCTTCCTCCACAAGAAATGGCATATGCTACACAATGAACGACTTACTTTAGTTACAAGCGAAGCCGTGTTCTTTGTTTGTTCTGCTTGTAATAGATTTTCCAATGGCTTCATGTACAAGCATGGGAAGGTGAAATTAGATGTCCGCTGCAGTTCAATTTTTGAGCCATTTGTCCACCGAAGTCATCCCCGTCATCCCTTATATTACATTCCACCAAATAAAGATGAAATCTGCAATGGTTGCAATAAGAAGGAAGCGCATGTGCTCAGATGCATTGAAGATGGTTGTGAATTTGTCTTGGGATTCAATTGTGCTACTTTACCACAAGTGGTAAAGCATAGAGTTGACGATCATCCTCTCTCACTATGCTATGGCGAAGAAGGGGAAAGTGGTAAATACTGGTGTGACATTTGTGAGGAAGAAACTGATCCGAGGACATGGTTCTACATTTGTAGAGATCATCGAGCTAGTTTGCATACAGAGTGTGTGGTGGGAGAGTTTTTAGGGCTCATGCCAAGAAAGATAATAGTGGATTCCAACACTACATGGGAAGTATTGCTCAATAATAGTGTAACTCGTCCACTCTGCAGGGAGTGCAAGTCGCGTTGCATATACCCTATCATCTTGAAGGAGGTTGGAACCTTGGATCCATACCTTTGTTCTGTTGTTTGCTTATGCTTACGCTTAAAGGTCATATTTAATAAGATAGATCTTATGAACGAAAAAGTGTAATAAATCTGTGAAGGCAAGATATTCGTTTAGCTTCATTTATTTTTCCTTGGACAAAGTTCATTTCTGTTATGAGTTGATTTGATATGATCTTATTGTTTCTAATGATTTCATCGTTTCGTTTTTCTGTAAAATATTCCCTTGAAAACGAAGAATACAACACCATCAGTCTCATCTGTTCGATTATTGAGGTAAAGTATAAGGAGTACCGTCGTACATTTCACCATTACTACTCCATCTATTTAAACATGCAGCTCAGAAATGTATGCAGCTCATGACAAAACCTGGAAGCTACAAAATACCTTCCGTCAACGACATTCCCTTCAACATCAAGAAAAAACAACCAAAAGATTTTTTTTTTTTTTAAGAAACTAACCCTTCAAAAGGTTTCCATTAGGGGAATCCAAATTCAAAGGGGATACATTCATCATAAGATGTTAAGAAAGAAAACACAACGAGTTCTTGCTGGTTGCTCTCTCCTTGGAGATTTCGGTGGTGCGTTCTGCATAATCAATAAGATGAAATTCTATGCAATGTACTAAAATTTATGTTTCTTGTAAACAAATTCTATATGTTTTTTTCTTCTTTCTGGTTAATGAATAATTTGTATATGTTGTGGAAGAGTATACATTTTACAGAGAC